TTTTGATGGGTCAAAGAAAATTAACGTCTCACGTCACATTTAATCATTCAAGGCACGGTATTACTCAGTCCAGAAAAATGAAAGAATCCGTTTAAATTATGAATAATATCAACAGGTATTTGTTCATTTACAGAGTTAACAACATATTCTTTTGTTTAAAACATATGGCTAAAACTACATTTTATATATTTTGCACTGTTTTGTGAAGGACTTTCTAGATTTATTGGACTCTTTTAATTAGGGCTGCAACTAACGATTATTTCAATAATCGATTCATCGGCCGATTATTTTTTCGATTAATCGATGAATCGGCAAAAAAAACCCACAACGTTTTAATTTCCACCCCTTTAGTCCAAAATTGAACATTTGACTGACATAGAAATTCACACAAAAAACAGGTTGCTATTTTACTATTCTGTTAGTAATATATTGAATAATAAAAAAATAAAAGTTAGTCAAATAGCTTTAAAAAATAAATGTACACAAAAATATATACAAATGTATCTTTATACCTGCACAATATGTAGCTACTTTGTCAAATGTGTCCATGAGGGAAGAGTGTAACCTGGATTGAAAGTGTGGATTATTGTAACCTGGATTAAAAGTGTGGATTATTGTAGTGAAGCTTTCGTCTTCAACCATCGACAGAGGCCTCATGTCAGTGACGATCATGTTCAGGATGTTTCAGTGAAGACAGCTGCTGCTATGGTGTCCATGATGTCTGTCCATCATGAAGGCTTTTGTTGTTGTTGTTTTCTGGAATGAGAGAGTAAATATGTTTTATAGCATAATTTACAGCAACTCAAGAAATGCCTTGTTTCACTTACAGCGTTAGGTTCAGGCAAAAGTAGCTAAAAGAGCAATTAAACACACACACACACACACACACACACATATATATATATATATATATATATATATAAAATACTTAATTACACACATTTGAGTAGATGTAATAAAATACTTTAATTCCTGTTTAAATGCAATTCATCCTGCCATACCTGCAGTGTCTTCAGACTTTGCCAGCAAATTAAAAGTTGAAGCTTAATCATTAAATTATTATCTTTGTGTTAGATTTATTTATAAATCACATTTAAACACTGCTTGTTCCAATTAAATTAAATAAAAAGTAACACACGTTCTCTATCACCGTCATTAATCAGATAAACAAACAAACAAGCAGCAGCTTCATCTACCAGACAGACTGACGTTACATTTTCTCTCTTGAAACAGAACAATGTGTTAAATTGCAGAGACTCACCTGTAACACGAGTTGGGAGTGAGACATGTTGTATCAGCTGCAGCTCCTTCCTCCTCCTCGTGACTCCGACATGTTTACGTTTTATCTCCGTGGTTCTCTCGTGTCGTGTCGGCGATTTTCAAAGCGGCATGTTTCTCATCTTTTATCTTTGTGAAGTTCTCCCACTCTTTGGAGGACTTGAGTCAAACAGTTTTCGCTGCGTCGGTCATTTGTAAAATTTACTTAAATTTCCTTTGAAAACACTCTGCTCTGCTTCCTCCTCCCCCCTCGCTCTGTTCAACTCACGCTGCAGTTTTTTTTTCAAACTTTATTCATTCAGTCAGCATTGACAATGAACTGCCCATGAACAAAACGAAACGGCCCCGCAGCGCCGTGAAAGATGCATAATCGCGCGACACAACAAATCGATAACGAAATTCGTTGCCAACGCTTTTAATCATCGATTTTTATCGATTTTATCGATTCGTTGTTGCAGCCCTACTTTTAATTTAATTCAGCAGGTAAACGGTCCCACCCAACAACACGGTCACACGCTGGACCTCGTTTTAACACGCGATGTCTCTGTTTCTAATTTGAAAATTGGTGACAATGTTTTTTCAGATCACATGCCTTTATTGTTTGACTTCACCCCCCCTTGTCCTACTGCTAAGACGTGCGTTCCTGCACGTACGCGTTCCATTAACCGTTTCACTGCTGCTCGTTTTAATGAAGGTTTTAACTCTGAGAGGATCGAACAGCTCTCGGTGTCTCTTACCACTGAGGAGCTAACCTCTCAGTTCAACTCTGCCTGTTTAGATGTTCTGGACCGTGTTGCTCCCCTTAAAACCAGAAAAACGAAACTTAGATCAGGGGCTTGGCTGAATGACGTCACTCGAGCCGTTAGGCGGCAGTGTCGCAGAGCTGAACGAAGGTGGAGGAAAAACAGGCTGCAGGTTTCTTTTCAAATGTTAAGGGAGAGTTGGCGTCATTATCAGAAAACCGTTAAAGCTGCCAAATGTAAATTCTTTTCTGATTTAATTGTCTCCAACTCCCACAACCCCCAAGTTCTTTTCTCCACCCTGAACTCAGTTCTACACCTCAGTGAGCCTTCACCTCTGGAAGCCTCAACTGAGCTGTGTGAAAACTTCCTCCATTTCTTTTTTAGAAAAAGTGGCAAACACCCGGGCACTCATTTCTCCACCAGCTCATGATCTGTCCATCCCATCTCAGTGTGTGGCTGTGTTTGACCACTTTGAGCCCATCTCTCTGTCCTCTCTGGAGCAGGTAATGTGCAGCATGAAGCCATCTGGTTCCCCCTTTGATGTGGTCCCCCCTCGACTACTAAAGGAAGTTTTTCCTACCCTGGGTCCTTTTATTCTCGCTATTCTGAATAGCAGTTTATCCTCAGGTGTGGTGCCAAAAACTTTTAAACATGCTGTTGTCCAGCCCCTCCTGAAAAAACCTAACCTTGACCCCTCAGTCATGTCCAACTTCCGGCCTATCTCCAGACTCCCATTCACCTCTAAACTACTGGAAAAAATTGTGGAGTCTCAGTTGAAACAGTTTTTGGGGGATCACGCTATCCTAGAGTTATTCCAATCTGGCTTCAAATCTCTCCATAGCACTGAAACAGCTCTACTGAAGGTTTTTAATGACATTTTCATATCCACAGACGCAGGTGATTCTGTGCTGCTTGTCCTATTGGACCTTACATCTGCTTTTGACACCATCGACCACAAGATCCTCATTTCTAGACTGGAGCAGTGGGTGGGCATCACAGGGTCAGCCCTTAAATGGTTTGGGTCCTACCTCTCTGACAGAACCTTCTGTGTCAATATCAAAGATTTTAGTTCGGCATCGACAGCGCTCCAGTGGGGGGTACCGCAGGGGTCCATTCTCGGTCCCCTTCTCTTTTCTTTATACCTGCTGCCACTAGGTGCTATTTTCCGCAAACACAACATACCCTTTCATTTCTACGCCGATGATTGCCAAATTTACTTCCCCCTGATGCACAGAGGCACACGCTCTATTCAGCCTCTTCTTGACTGCCTGGCTGACATCTGGGACTGGATGGCTTTAAACTTTTTAAGCTTCAATGAGAAGAAGTCTGAAGTCATGCTGTTCCATCCCAGTGGCTCACTCATGAACCATGACATTGACCTTTTCTCTCTAGCCCCGCTAGAGAAACAAAAGGTCACTAATCTGGGGGTGATAATGGACCCGTCCTTAAAACTCAACAGTCACGTAAACATGATGGTCAAATCCTGTTTTTTTCAGCTGAGACGGCTGTCTAAGCTGATGCCTATACTCTCCAAAAAGAACCTTGAGACAGTGATCCACGCCTTCATAACATCTAGGCTTGATTACTACAATTCATTTCTGTTTGGAATCAGTCAGTCCTCCATTGCACATCTACAACTGGTCCAAAATGCTGCTGCCCGATTTTTAACTGGTACAGGCTATAGAGAGCACATCACGCCAGTTTTGGCCTCCCTGCACTGGCTACCCATTCACCTTCGGATCCAATTCAAAATTCTCATGTATGTTTTTAAATCACTGAACAGTTCTGCCCCATCCTATCTCACTGATCTTCTGCAGCCATATGTCCCACCGCGCTCTCTGAGGTCAGCAGACCAGATGCTTCTCTCAGTCCCAGAAACCTGTCGTAAGCTCAGAGGTGACAGGGCTTTCTCTGTTGCAGGTCCACGACTGTGGAATGAGTTGCCACTGAGTGTCCGGCAGGCTCCCACGCTCTCAGTCTTTAAGTCTCGCTTGAAGACCCACTTCTATTCTCTTGCCTTTAACACGGTGTGATTTGTTTTGGTCCTGTCTGTACTCTACACTGTTGGGCATTTTAGTTAGCTTCTTCTGCTATTTGTATCTGTATTTCTATTTTATGTTTTCCTGTCCGCTGTGCATGTTTGTTTTCTTTTGTACAGCACTTTGGTTGGCCTTGTTGCTGTTTTAAGTGCTCTATAAATAAATTGGTATGGTATGGTATGGTTTTGCACTATAAGAAAGAAGCCCAATACTTGATTTGTTTATTATTTAAAAACTCTCTGGACCTAGTAGTGGAATTTTCTTAATTCAAAATATATGATGGCAAAAGGACACCCTATGCTTTTTAAAATTCCTATTGCAAGTTTTATACCAAAAACATATTGCGATATATATCGTTATCGCCACCCTTCACAGTACATATCGTGATGTGAATTTTATGCCATATCACACATTCCTAATAACCATTCATTAAAGACAAATTAAGTAGATCCAATACGTGGTTATTATTTAGGGGAAATACCTCTTGAAACAGTCTGGTTTGTATCTAGCAGACATGTGGATGGTTTGGTTGAAGCTATTATTTTTGACAATTCAGAGAGCTCAACAGGACGAAAACTGTCGAAACACAAATCAATTTCTAGTGACATACAGAACAGAAATAGATCTCAAAACTTACTGTTAAACTGCAATGTTTAATAATCAAAAGACAAATTGTGACATTTATTCTGTATTTCATCTTAAAAGTTTATGGTAATGACCAAAACAATGGTCAGTTATTTCCCTTTTTAATGATTCATTACAGGTAAATTAATACAGTACAGTAAATAAGATACTATTACTTTTAGCACACAAGTTTCCCTTTTGATTGAGATGAATGATCTCAAAAATTAAATCTTTTTACAAATGCATGAAAATAAACTAGAAAAGTTTGTCTTCTGTTCCATAATGGTGGCTTCTGTCCCATGTTTCTCGCTGACAGACAGTGGACATTCATAAGGAGAAGGTGGCACGTCGAGAAATTGGTATTCTGACCACGAACAAGAACACGTCTCGCACCCACAAGATCATTGCTCCGGCAAACATGGAGCGGCCCGTGCGCTATATCCGGAAACCCATTGACTACACTCTGCTGGATGATGTGGGACATGGTGTCAAAGTAAGAAGCATTTACATGTACTGTACATCCTTAATTTATTTTACAAATACTCTTTAGTAAACCAAAGAACACTAAACACTGCTGTTTTTTTTACTCTCACTTCACTTCAGGAACATGAATAAATGTAACCAATATCTATTTAAAAGAACTGTAGCTGGTAAAGAATCAATCTTTTTGCCCAGTAAGATCCTAAGCTGGAATTTGTTTAGTGTTTTGGTGTAAATGTGTGAGCTAGAGGGAGACATCTTTGCCAAGTGTTACTCACACTGTCATGTCCACTGTTGATTTAAAGAAACAGGGCTCTCTCAGCTCCCCTCCTTTAACCCTCCTTTCTCCATTTCAAAAGGCTGTTTGTAATTGTGCACACAGTCATGTGGGTGATGTTTGATTTGGCCTCTGCATCTCTGCATGTTGAGATAGTGGCTGTCTGCTGATTTAAATTCAAAAGCCGGCGTTTCCTTGGCTCACTCTCAGGCAGATTTGGCTCAACTCACCATGCAAATCAAGCTTCAGTCAAGGATGAAAGGAATGGATGATGTTGAATTTCTTCAGAAATCAGTGGAAGTGCAAGAAAAAATTACTGACTTTTTATAAAATTACAAACTCTAGGTCTCTATTTGAATAAATTTAAAATCCAGTTCTGTTAAAGTATTTAGAATAGTACTTTTCACATTTAGCTCTTTTTAAATATATTTTCCCAGCCATTTGTTTATGTTTATGTTCATGGATGTGGATCTGGCAGAATGCACATTCCAGTTACTCTTTCTCTCCTGCACTCATCTGTGAATATTTCAGAAGGATAAACCTCTACAGTCCCATCACCCAGAGCCGTCCTCGCTCTGTAATGAGCTTCATTTTAATCCATGCATGTGGGAATGTTCACCGTTTTGTTTTTGACACTAACACGATCCCCGTTTATTCTGTCTTGGGAAATGCTATTTGCAGCCTGTTCACACCCTATCCTTCTTTTGTTCATCATGTCCAGGGGAGCTCAGATAAAAAGAGCTGGGAATTCAGACACGAGCTCTGGGAAGATGCACACACACTTAGCTATGCTCACCCCCTTCGCCTCAATAAACCTTTATTGGTATTTTTAGGGGTTGCCAGGGTAACACGGTTTCAGTGACATATTACATCTTCTCCGGATGGTTTGCTGTTATTTATGATCTCACTGTGCCTCATGACTTGGTTTATGTCCCGGCAGCGCACAAAACGTCAGCGGGTCACTTCAGTCTGTGCAGCCCACATAGCTGAGGCATGACTGATTTTTACTGGTTAGTTTCAACTCAATTGATCCTTGTAGTGATGTTGGTTAATACCAAGCCTGAGCACTGACATCCACCGATCGACCAGAACATTAGGACTCCCTCCCTCTTCATTAGGACTTGGGAATTTTTGTACTGTTATTTTAGTGTCTCAATGTCTTGTCTAGTACAGATGTTTTGTGTGCCTACTGACTGTGGAACAAATTGTCCCTTGGGGATAATAAAGATTCTTGAACTTGAACTCCCCGTTTAATCCTGAAGAGGTGTCCTTTGAATAACCAGTCAGGGTCTGGACTAGAGAATGACACAGGAGTGGATTTTCACTCCTGTCCTGTCCGGGTCCCACATAAAAAAAATCCTGTCCTGTCCCACTCCTGGTAACATGACTCCTGCTCCTGTTCAAAATCACTCCCACTCCTGCTTGTTAAGGTCTGTGGGTGATGTCAAAGGCGAACGGTTTGAAGCAAGGAGTAAACAACTTGAGGTAAAAAAACAATTATATTTATTGGTTTAGGTGTAGCTGGTAAACTTAAACTCAGGATGGATCCACTGTGGGAATAGAGAGGAGATTGGTGGTGAACGACAAATCGTCTTGAGGAGATTTTGGAACTGTTGAGAGTAATCCAAAAATAAGCTTACTTGTCGTTGGTGTTCCAGGAGCATGAGAACAGGAGACAGGATCCGAATCCAACAATCCACGGTGGGATCATGTGAGTATATTTACAAGTGTATTTACAAAAATCACCAAGGGAGCCGGGGTGGAGGTGAGGAGAAACTAGGAACTAGGTGAGGCACACAGGAGTAAAGGTGGAGGAGGAGAAAACGCTGCTGTCATGCAGGGAGACCGATAAGGAGCTTGAAGTCAGCCAGCCAGTAGTCACAGGAACATGGAGCTTGGTAGAACTTTGCTCTGGCACTGATCTGGAGTGAAGCTCCAGCTTAAATAGCTTCTCCACCTGGTCCAGGTAATGAGCAGCAGCTGTGGAGAGATAATTAGGAAAGCACAAACAACAGAGAAGGGAGGGGTAGAGGAGCCAACCTCTACAGTACCTCCCCCCTAACGATCGTCTCAGGACGATGACATCATCCGTTTCTCTGGATGGTCTCAAAAAAATGCCTCTATCAAACTGGGGTCCAGGATGAAAGACCTTGGGATCCAAGACCTGTCTTCAGGTCCATAACCCTCCCAATGGACTAGGAACTGGAAACCCCTACCCCGTCTTCTTGAATCCAGGATACGGTTGACCCTATATGCCGGTTGGTTGTCGATCAATAGAGGGGTTGGGGGGGAGTTGGTGGGAGGGTTGAGTGGGGTGACTGAAACTGGTTTTAGATTAGAAACATGGAAAGTTGGATGGATCTTCATGGATGGCGGTAACTTGAGCCTGACTGCAGAGAGGTTTATGATTTTGTCGATAGTGTAGGGACCAATGTACCTGGGGGCCATCTTGCGAGAGGTGTCCTTTAGACGAATGTCTCTGGTGGAGAGCCATACAGATTGGCCTACCTTGTAGTCTGGGGCTTTGGAGCGAAGTCTGTCAGCTGATTCCTTGTTCCGTCCGGCAGTCCTTGACAGTGCCTCTCTAGCTTGAATCCAAACTGTCCTGCATCGGTCCATGTGGTCCTTGATTGATGGAACCAGGATTTCAGTCTCCAACAGAGGAAATAGTGGGGGTGTGTATCCAAGGGAAACCTCGAAGGGTGTCAGGCCAGTAGCTGATGAGGTTAGGGTATTGTGCGCATATTCCACCCAGAGTAAGTGTTTTGACCAGTCAGATGGGTTCTTCTCAGACACGCACCTAAGGACGGCCTCCAACTCCTGGTTGCATCTCTCTGACTGTCCGTTTGATTGTGGATGGTATCCGGAAGATAAACTTACAGTGGCTCCGATGGACTTACAGAACTCCTTCCATAATTGGGATATGAATTGTGGGCCTTTGTCTGATACAATGTCTGTGGGTAAGCCGTGAATCCTGAAAACCTCTTGTAGATGAATCTGGGCCGTCTCAAAAGCCGAAGGGAGTCTTGTGAGTGCAATGAAACGGGCAGCTTTAGAGAATCGGTCCACAACAGTGAGGACTACGGACTTCCCATCTGAAGGTGGCAAACCTGTCACGAAGTCCAAAGCGATGTTTGCCCATGGTCTGTCCGGAACTGGTAGTGGATGAAGTAGACCCGCTGGTGGTTGATTGTTGTTCTTATTTCGGGAACAAGTGGAGCAGGCCTTGACAAATTCCTTTATGTCACTTGACAATGTCTTCCACCAGAAATGTTTCTTGGTGAATTCAATCATTCTATTGATGCCGGGATGACAAGTGAAGTGATGAGAATGAACCCAATCCAAAACCTTGTGGATGACGCTCTTTGGAACGAAAATGGTGCCAGGTGGTCCCCCCCCAGGATCAGGTTTGCTGAACTTGAGCCTTCTTGATCTCCTGTTCAATGGGCCAGGTGACAGCTCGGACCACACAGGCTTGTGGCAAGATCCCAGAGTCTCCCTTCTCACGGTTGGAAATGGAGAATTGTTGAGACAACGCATCTGGTTTAACATTCTTGGAACCAGGGCGATACGTGATGGTGAATCTGAATCTCGTGAAAAACAACGCCCACCGGGCCTGACGGGGGTTAAGGCGCTTGGCGTCTTGTAAATACGCTAGGTTCTTGTGATCGGTCCAAATGATAAATGGAATATTGGCCCCCTCCAACCAGTGTCTCCACTCCTCGAGGGCTAGTTTTATGGCCAACAGCTCACGGTTTCCGACATCGTAGTTCTGTTCAGCTGGAGAAAAACGTCTTGAAAAGAAAGCACATGGGTGAGTTTTATTATCGTGGGGGTCCCTTTGAGAGAGGACAGCCCCAGCACCAATATCCGATGCATCCACCTCCACAATGAACTGTCTTTGGGGGTCTGGGTGACGAAGAATGGGTGCAGAACAAAAACGTTACTTTAACTCACGGAAGGCTTGGTCGGCTTCGGGGGTCCAGTTGAATTTGTAATTCGTGGATGTAAGTTGGGTGAGAGGGGCTGCCATCTGACTGTAGTTCCGGATAAAACGGCAGTAGAAGTTTGCAAATCCCAGGAACCTCTGAAGCTGCTTTCTGTCCGTAGGTGTCGGCCACTTCAGAACTGCTCGGACCTTCTCAGGGTCAGTGTGGTAGTGTCCCTCGTTAAAGATAAAACCAAGGAAAGAGACAGAGGTTACGTGGAATTCACACTTTTCAGCTTTGACGTAAAGTCGGTTTTCATACAATCGTTGTAGTACAGTGCGAACATGGGTCTGGTGAGACTGAATGTCGGTAGAATAAATCAGAACGTCATCTAGATACACAAACACAAATTTATTGATCAGATCTTGGAGAATGTCGTTGATGAGAGTCTGAAAAATTGCAGGAGCATTAGTGAGTCCGAATGGCATGACTAAATATTCAAAATGTCCAAAAGGGGTCTTAAATGCAGTTTTCCACTCATCTCCTTCCTTGATCCTCAAAAGGTGATAAGCGTTTCTAAGGTCCAACTTTGAAAAAACAGTGGCAGAAAGAAGTTGTTCTTGTACTGAGTTGATTAACAGAAGTGGGTATTTGTTCTTTATGGTTATCGCATTTAGACCTCAGTAGTCAATACACGGACGGAGTGAATCGTCCTTTTTATCTACAAAGAAAAACCCCGCCCCTAATGGAGACATAGAAGGTCGAATGATGCCGGATTGTAATGATTCGTCTAAATAATTTTGCATG